AAGTGAAGTAGGTGTGACGCAATGTGCATGTGTGGAAAGTTCCAATCCAATGCTGACTCCCTTTCTGCTCCTCGTGCCTATCTTTGGGTGAATCACTCCATCTCTTAAAATTTTAAAGTCCTCATTTATAAAATGTGGTGGACCTCTCCACTTTACAGGGCTGGGGTGAGGATTAAGGGAGATAACCTATGCAATGCATCTGGGGCATGGTGGTTCTAAGTAATCCTCTTCCACTGTAGGACATACGTTGCAAATACGAGAGTTATTTATTTTCTGGGGTTTTCAACAGAAACCCAGAAGGAGGTCCCATAACCAAAGGATCTGTTGCTACAACTGAATGCAAGGTTGCACGTGCTAGGAAACTCTGGCCAAGCAGATTCGGATGATGGACGCCATCGAACGGTCTCCGTGTTTACAATAATTATCTCGAATGTGGCTGCACATTTGAGTGCTACGGTATTATAAGAGACTCACAGGGATGCCGTATCGGGTCCGGTAGAGGGTCCTCATCGCGACGCTGGTTCCGCACAGACAGCATTCGTTCATGTCGGCCGCAACCTGACACCCAAGGCACGGGAAACAGAACGTGCCACAGAGACCTAGACACACGGAACGGCGGGTACGTATTACTCCACTCTGCCCCCGCCACAGCGGAAAGTCAGTTTGCTGTCATGGACGGCAGTTCAAATCACGGGGAAACGTCTCGAATACTTCTGTTTGGCTTTGATCAGATCCTCCCCTGACCCTCAAATCATTTCAGGAATGACTGCACCTTGGAGAGTGTGTCATTCTTTGCATAGCACTGTCTTCATTCATTTACTCGTGGGTTCGCTGAACCCTACCATGTTCCGGACACTGCCCTCAGTGCTGGCAATGCCCCTGACTGCGGTCCAGGAGGGAAGACAGATGACAGGAAAAGTTCCCCAACAGAAACCTGCTAAAGACGCCAGTGGGTCACCCACAGAAATGGGGTCTACGTGGCCCTGAGTAGAAAATGCTGCTTGAGCTGAATAGTGAAGGATAATTAAGTGCTTTAAAGGTGGACAAAAGGTAAAAGAGCTTCTTTGAGATAATTTGGCATGTCCTGGCAAAGGCTAGTGTTCATTCAGTACAGCTGGAGCCCCGGGACGGGATGGGGGTTTCGCCAGGGGCTGAGGCAGGTTGGGAATCACGTGATGAAGAACTGTGAGTGTTCAGGGTTTGTCATGAAAGTCATGAGGAACCACTGAAGTATTTTAAGAGGTGAGAATGGGCCGGGCGCGGTGGCTCGCGCCTGTAATCCTAGCTCTCTGGGAGGCCGAGGC